CGGTTTAAGGTTCAAAAAACACATTATTTTCCACATAATGTACATTATTGTTGCTCCTCTATGCCCCACCTTTCAGAAATGCGTCGTTTTTTACAAAGCTCATCGTTCTGTAAAGCAAGGTGTATGCTGATTGGCCTATCCAGCTATCCGGTGCTTTGTGATTGGCTGAATACCTCAACCGTGTGACGGAAATGTTACGCCCCTTAGCATACTGTGATGCTGTGTCCCAGCGTGATGAGACAGCACCAATAAAACCCATTACAAATGAGGCATTTGTTGCATCTAGTGGGGACATAATTACTGATTATAATGACTTATACTGTCTTCTTAAGCGTTGCGCTGCGTTGCGTTGCGTTGCGTTGCGTATCGCGCTGCGTAAACATAAAACCATGTCTGCATTTGTGATCGGAGAAACAACAAACACCAAGCCTACTCTACACTGCTCAAAACTCGCCGTTTGAATTGTCAAATGGCAAATTATTTAAATATAAAAAACATACTTTGGGCGGCGTTATGCAAATCTTCCCACATTGTGACGTAGACATGTGGGGGCGTGTTAGAACGAGCCGTTTTAGGTAGGAGTGGTTGACTCTTATCGTTTATAAAGAATATCTCGGATTTGAAACTTTAGTCTTTGCAACTTTACAGATCTTCTTTATGCACCAAGAGCTTGTAACACTTCAAAGAGAAATAAAAAATTGAAATAGCATCATATGACCCCTTTAAAGGAACATTTCAGGCAATACACAGTCTGTGTATTGTAAATAACAATGTTTTATACTTTAAATAATTGTGTAAGTACTAAGTGGTAAAACAACACAAACGGGGCAAAAATGCATTTTAAGTTAAGACATTTAACTCCAGCAAACCACCTAGTTTTTTTCCCCCCCAGACAAACTGTATTTTTTCTTTTTTTCAGTTGTTTAACTGTAATCTTGTATGAAAATGAATCTTTTTACAAATTATTTGTATCCGACTTTGTAATCTGGGAATAAAATCTATAATAAATCAACCATTCTCTGTCAATTGCAGCTTCTATCAGGTGAGGGCAGGTCTGCGTGTGTCTCCTCGGATTCCCCACAGAATCACTGCCACAACACCTGGATACACAGGTGAGAACTTTATATATTTACTTTCTTCATCTCAGTGTCTCTATAAACCATGTGTGTAGCATTAACACGTCAGACAACAACACGCAACTAATCAGTCAGTGACATCGGTTTGTGAGTGTGTCTAGATTCTTTTCTTTTGTTAGACCTAATATTTTTAGAGGTGGTTTAGATTCAAGATGCATCATCTGAGAGAGGGTTTTAAACTGTCAGCAAGCTAAAATCCTCCATGAGGAGATGCATCTCTGAATTCATTCCCTTTAAAGGCACATTAAAGCAGCACTTTTGAAATTAATTTAACTTCTTAAACAACAATTTCAGAGACAATTACTGTCGAACATTAAATCGCTTGCTGTAAGCTATGCTCCTGTTATTATGCACAATGCATTAGTTTGTGAGGACTTAATTTTGGTTACAATTATACAGCCTATTTACCTTGTTTTGCCAGATAGAGGATGATAGTGAAGCCCATCGGATGAATGTGAGCATTCGAGGGCTCTTTCCCAAAGGCTTTGGGAGGATTCCCCTTAGCACATACTCTGTGCTTAAAACAGTAATCTACAATACAGGCTGCTTTAGTTTTATTGCCATCTGATGGCAGTCAGGGCACCATGTTTCCACAGGTCACGTTGCGTCAGGTGAAAATATAGTCTGTTTTCACAACATTGACAGCTTCTTTTATCTCTCACACACGGGTTACCTGCACACACACACACACACACACACACACACACACACAATTGTCAGTGTACACACTGCTGTTATGACACCTGTTTAAGACCATGTTCGAAAGAGCCAAAATAACTATTTTTGAAAATCCCACAGAAAAGCCCCTTATAAAATCTACTTGTACTGTCAAGAAACCATGTTTGTAATATCTTACCACACACAATTTGGAGAATGAATCACTCTTATTCACCTGTGGGACTGCTGTTTACTTCCAATTTTGCATTCAGTTAGTGTGTTAGCATGCTTCTGAAAGTGACACTTCAGGTTTATTCGCTGAGGCCTCAGATACTCATCTGAATCGTGTGATTTCTGACTGACATCACTACACTATAATGAGCTTCTGGGCAAACTTTCATCTGCTGTTTATGTGCGAGGAACTGACAAGACTACAAATTTGTTGTTGATGTCTGCTGTCTTGTTGTTGTTGTTTTTTTTTTTTTTTTGCTGACGCACTTTGGTGGTTGGTGCACTTAGCACTTTTGTCGCTTTTTCACTTCTTGCATATGGAAGGTGGAGGCTAGATTTTTGAGGGACCTTTTTTGGTCAGACTGAGAGATTTTTTCAGTGTGCAGAAGGGTTCAGCGACTTGTTGGACTAAAACTTTCTCCCTTTTGTTCTACGCACATTAAAACGTATTGTTCTTTTTGAGTGCACACAATTCCTGTTTGCCTAATTAATGCTGTACAGTTGCTTTGACACAATCTGTATTGTTAAAAGTGCTATATAAATAAAGGTGACTTGACTTGACTTGATTTGGCAAAGACTTATGTTCTAAACAAACAAACAAAAAAAAGACACTTTACATACACTGTCGTTTAGAAGTTTGGGGTCAACAAGTCTCTTATTTCCACCAAAGCTGCATTTATTTGATCAACAATACAGTAAAAACAGTAATATTGTGAAATATTATTTCAGTTTAAAATAACTGTTTTCTATTTGAGTATATTTTAAAATCTAATTTATTTCTGTGATGTAAAGCTGAATTTTCAGCATCATTACTCCAGTCTTCAGTGTCACATGATCCTTCCGAAATAACTCTAATGTGCTGAATTTGCAGCTCAAAAACATTTCTTATTATTATCAGTGTTGAAATAAGTTCTGCTGCTTCATATTTTCATGGAAACAATGATAGTTTCAACTGAAATATAAAAATAGGAAATATTTCTTTTAAAGCCTTTACTGTCACTTTTGATCAATTTAATGCATCCTTGCTGAATACAAGTAGGAATTTCTTTAAAAATAAATAAACAAAATAAAATCTCGCTGACCCAAAACAAAGCCATAATCAACAAAAGCTTTTTTGTCTTGTCCCTTTTACATTTATCCAACTAGCACAGTGATAAATGAAGTATTTCCTGTTCATCCAGTTGCTCATTTTGCTCTAGTCATATGAGATAACGCAGCAGTTTTCTTTGGCTATCGTATCTTAATGTCTTGATTAAGGAGTTGTTTGTGTGTGTGTGTGTGTGTGTGTGTTGTGTGTTTGTGTGTGTGTGTGTGTGTGTGTGTGTGTGTGAGTGTGTATTTGGCAGCAGAAGCCCCGCGGCCTCTGTCTGACATTGAGTCTTGGCGCTGCTCGTTTGACTCAAACTCACACACTCACTGGCATCAGCGGCCATTTTGGATCTGTCAGCCATTCTGACTCTTATGGGATTTCATTATCAGTTTCAAAATGTCATCCGGACAACTGGCTGGCTGACTAAACTGAAGTGTTTCAGCATCTTTGTGCTCTCTACTAACTCAAATGGTTAAAACAGTACAACAGTTTAACCAAAATCTGTTGCGTTGTGCCTTACAAGTTTTCATCCTGACCTGTTTTGTGTTACTCATGTACACCATTTGGTATGTTTAAGCAGCACTGTCTGATGCAGGGGCGGACTGGGACAAAAATTCAGCCCTGGCACTGTAACCACACCGGCCCACATTACCACACCGACACAGCCCCACCCACGGACACACACATTCACTACTTACATTTGTGTACAGATGGTGAAATAATATAAGCAGTACCATATATGTAACAGATATTTAAGCATTTAATGTATGTGTCTGGCAAACAATGCTTACTACTTTTTAAAGAGCACTTGTTTATAACAAATTTACACATACAGTAAAAACAAAAGAAAAATAATCTGAGGATGTTGTAGAGTCTGTGTGCTGTCTGTTTGTGCCATTTGTCTGCTGTTACTGTCATTCTCTACAGTATGTTGTTCTTTGTTGTCACTGTCTGTCTGTTGGGTTTTTCCTACCTCTACCATACTCCTCCCTGTCTCTGCTTGGCCTACTGTAGCATCCTTCCTCACAGCACTGGTGTTGAAAGACCAGGGGTCTCTGGCTGTACTGATTCCAGCAACATCCTAGTTAATGAACACAGTATAGGATGTAAACATTACAGCAAAATATTTTCTCACTGACTGCTCTCAACATTGGAATACACATGAATACAAACAAGTAATAATAGCAAAAAAGGGAGTAGAATATATAGCAAAAACTATAAATAGTAGCATCAGTAAATTCTTTTTGATATACAATTATTTGTGAATTAAAGTATGCTGAAGTGTTGCTAGTATGTGCTGCATGTGCATTTGTGTGTGAGAGAGTCTCTCTCTCTCTCTCTCTCTCTCTGTGTGTGTGTGTGACACAGGCACAGGTTCCTCCTATCCTAAGAGTTAATTAATAGTTAATTAGAGCCACATTATTAAGAAACTGGCAGCATCTGTATCAGGGTGTGTCTCTCTTTGTGTCTTCCTACCTCCATGACACTTGACTCTGCAAGTCATACCTAAGGATTAATTGCATACTGTAAACTTATGTACTGTATGCATGGTCAATGTTTTATTTTAATATATGACTATCTACATATTCATCAGCCTACATCAGTTTTTACCCTTAATCCCACTGTATCTGCTGATATTTCAGTCATGCAATTCAGTAACAGGCTCATTAACACTTAAGTTAACCAATTATCACGAAGCAATGACATTTTAAAATATACTGGGGTTCTACGCTAAGCTTACTACTGTTTAATACAATGTAGGCTACTGTCAAAAAAAAACAAAAAAAAACACGAGCTAACTCGCAGAAGTAGTGTGAAAATGACTTGTGCTAGCTGTATTTTCTGTTTTCTTCTTACCTCTGCGGCACTAACTGTCCTCCGCTGCAGCAGCCGAATTTAAACCTTTTGAAAAGAGTTCGGTTAATTTTACGCATTTAGCAGCGTCGGGCCTAAGCCCTTTTTTTTTTTCTCAAAGTTTTTCTGCAACGCCTTTCCTTTTTTTACGGTCCATTATCTAGCTTTTACTGAAAATTAGCGTGTTGCAATCTCTCTGATGACGTGCTTGATTTTGACTGAACGGTTCGGTCGGCCCATCTCGGGACCAGGCAGACTGGGCCAAATGCTTAACATTTATTTATTATTAACATTATTATTACTATAACTATAGAGAAATTGTGCAAGCGATAAAAACCCTTCCTATGCACTGTTGGCCCGTAAAAACAATTTTATTTATATTTAGAAAAAATCGGACCGGCCCATATGAATCAAAATGATCCGGCCCCTCTGGCATTTGCCAGAATTGCCAGATGGCCAACCCGCCCCTGGTCTGATGTGTAAACAGCATATTAAAATCTCTACTGTTAACAGCAGGAATAATATTGTAGATATTAAGAGAATGAATCACATGAGACATAATATGATAATAAAGTCCTGGAGATATGAGCTAATTCTGACTGTACAACATGTGATATTGCAGTGCAGTGCTGTGAATTACCATACTGCAATCAGACGACTGCAGAAACAGTCCCTTCTGTTCAGAAACACACTGTCCTGATCCACTATCCATTACTGTGTCCATCAAACACCATCAGCATTTGCTTGATCAAACGAGAGCTTAGGTGCGAAGTACCTAAGATGTAACAAAAAAGTACTGAAGTTTAAACCAAAAAAAAAACAATTTTCAGATTATTTTACATCAATTCAGGTAGAAGGCACTTTTATACAAAAGAACAAGTATACTTACGACAAATGTTGCATCACTATCTGCACTAGAACAATACAGCCAGATACATATATAAGCTTACCGTTACATTGTTCCAGACTTTCTTTCAGCACTGAAACACAAAAGAAGACTTTTGCAATGATAGAGAACCATCAGAAACAAAAAGACACAAAAGACTATAAAAGTAGTCCATCTCTCAGAGACCCAGTGAATTTCAATGTTTGTATAAATCAATTAAATAAACTTTTCATATTCTTCAAATATGGGTAAAACGCATAACAGTAGCAATTTTTGGAAGAAATGTATTTTATCTATTTGCAAAGTAAGTATTTGCCACCTATTGCTTTTAAATCTATTTATTGTTATTTATCTATATATGTTAAATTTTGTATTCCTTTAAGTGTTGTTGGGAAAAGTCTTAAATGTCTTGAAATGTTAAACATTCATACATTTTAGATATTTTTTTCTAAGTGTAGCAAAAATGAAACACTGGAAATTAGAGCTCGATGTTTTTTCTTGTTCTCACAATCAAGTCTATTATGCAAAATGCAAAATTTGCCTTAAAGGAATTTTTTTTTCTTTTTTTTTTTCGATCTACTGGCTCTCTGAAGACACTTTTAAGGGTGAAAAAAATAGCACATCATGAATATCTATACTTGGTTCTCATGACTCATGCACTACATTCCAATTCTTCTGAAGTCATATGATAGCTTTGTGTGAGGAACAGGAATGATTTAACTTGTGAAATCAATCAGTCCAATTTGTAACTGAATCATTTAGTTCAAAACTATGAGTATGTTGCATTTTCTCCCATAAATGTGCAAAGGAAAGTCTATAGCCTGCAAAAACTCTTCCATTTTAATTTGTTCGTCACACAAAGCTATCAATCGACTTCAAAGGACCGGTGAACAAATCATACGGGCTACTTTTGTGTAATCATTTTTATTGTGTCATTTCATTATTTGAGAGCTAGACAGGTTTTAAAAAATCCTCTTTTCTTGTTTTATGGACGTTTTTGACAACGAGATTGATTAACTAACTGAAATGTTCATTTTTGGGAGAACTACCTCTTTAAAAGGTATATTATAGAATATCCGATATGTCGCATTCCAGTGCAGTGGTGTAAATTTCCACACTGCTGACTAGAAATAGTGGTGTTCATCAAAAACACACTGAGCCGATCCATCATCTTTTTTCTGGGTTTCTGACACTTCCTCTCCATCAAACACACACACACACACACTCCCCAGGACTCCTCTGGCAAGATCAGACTGTACGGCTCTCTCTCCAGCTCTCTGGGGCTTCCGCACACTGCAGAACTGTTTTTGGTGACACGCAGAGAGGAAGAAAGACATAGAACGAGAGAGACAGACAGAAAGAGGCAACCAGAGAGAGACGGATGCAGCGGGGGTCTGTCTTTACGCGAAACCCTCACCGTTCCGCTCAGCATCGCTCTGACACGCACTATCATCTTCTCCACTGAAGAGAAACCCTGCTGAGGTGCTGTCCTCCGTCACAGACGAGATCTCTGTCTCTCTCTGGCTGGATGTGGAGCCGGTGGCCGATGTTTGATGCTTGCAGCCTTGATGGCGGCTGTTTTAGTGTCAGGATAGTGAAAAACGGCACGAGTGATGCTGGATTTGATGGACACATTAATCATGATTTTCTCTCCTTAGAGGAAACCTTCATTGCTCACTTGCGGCTCTTTACACTCAGAAGCTTCTGCTAAAATTCAACTGGAGAAATGGGAACAATTTAGTCAAATAAGAAAAAACAAAAAACAAACAAACAGTCATT